GGCGGATCTATTGACCCGATTATATCTGTACCCCAGCATTCAAATGATCAGGACACAATTGTAGGGTGCAGTGGATTTAGAGACTGATGTATGACGTCACCATGGATCTGACACTCATGACATATCTTGGCATGATCAATACAATTCCTTACCATTGTTGACCAATAGTAATTCATTATTGTGATTTTAGTAGCCATATTGAGACCTGACTGATGTGCGCCACAAAGTCTTTCGACTCTTTCATGAAATTCTGCTACTACTCTATCAGCTTTTTTGGTCCCTAGGCATCTTAGCCACATTTGGTCAAAGGCTCGTCAATATAATGTATTGTTGACAAATGTGTATCGTAATGCCCATTTTCAGATTAGTGTGGCTAGAGATTTATCAATTGGGAGTTTGCTTTCTTTGAAATAGTTTATGAAGGGTTGCCTCCAATCGTCATCTTCCTTGACATAGAGGCAATACAACCACGATTCTGAGCATTTACTAGTTTTATGTCTCTTAACTACGTGGCATTCTTCTGGTTGATTTTCAATAATGATTTGTTTGGGAGGTTAAGGATTAACTAGGGTTGTATCCTGTTGGCTTGAATATGGTATTTCCTTTATCTGCGGGAATTGCAAGATTGCCGGCTCTAAGACCCAACGACCGTGAACCATAATTGGTATAGGCATCTCCTCATCGGTGTTCATCACTTCCTTGACTAATTTGGTTAGGCAATTTGCCTTGACAATCTGACCTCGAGGAACTCGGGCTATTCTAACATTTGACACTTTTTCCATAAGCTCGAGAGCTCGCTGATGGTAATAAACCAATTCAAGTTTGCCAACATTGTAAATGCTGAGGATCTGATTTATCACAAGTTGAGAATCACCAAAGTTTTGGAAATTTTGGATTCTAGCGTTGATCGCAATCTTCAATTCTGCTATAAAAGCTTCGTATTCGGCTTCATTGTTGGTCCGAGATTCAGTCAAACTGAATGACAATCTCATTATGTCTCCCTAAGGTGCTATGAAAATGAGACCGTTGCCAGCTCGGGCCCTTGTAAGATTTGGAGGTCGAGCAGGTTTAATCGATGCTGCCCTGTCAAAGTACATCTCCGAAAATGGTAGTTTTTCATCTTCCTCGACCTGCATGATTTGCTCATTAGGCAAATAATCATTAAGTGGGGAATCTGCCGGGATACGATGCTTGTTGAGAAAATCTGCTGAGGCTTGCCCTTTCACCGCCTATGTACGTGATATCAAAATGTAGTAGTATCACTACCCACCTGGCTAAACGACCTATCAATACTGGTCTTGTCATCAAGAATTTCAGCGGATCGATCTTTAATATCAATGTAACCCTATGAGAAAGCATATAATGGCGGAGTTTCTGAACTGCGAAAATCAACGTCAAACAATGCTTCTCAATTGGGGAAACCGCACTTTTGCTCCGATCAATCTTCGACTAATGTAGTAAATTGAATTTTCTTTGCCTTTTTTATTGTGTTGGGCCAATAACGCCCCGAGGGACTCTTCTAATGCTGCCATGTACAGTATTAGTGGCTTTCCTGGAATTGGCGCTGCGAGAATGGAAGGATTTAATAAGTATTTTTTGATACTGTCAATAACTTCTTGGCATTCTTCGTCCCACTTGAAACGAACCTCTTTCTACATTAATTTGGAGAATGACTGACACTTACCCGACAGATTTGATATAAATCTCCGAATGAAAGCCAGTTGTCCTTGCAAAGAACGAAGCTATCATACATTTCTAGGAGGTTGCATCTCCATGATTGCTTTGATTTTGTTGGGGTTAATCTCGATTCCTCGGTGACAAACAACGTACCCCAAGAATTTATCGGATACCTCAAAAGTACATTTGAGAGGTTTTATCTTCAAATCAAACGTTCTAATTTTCTCAAATACAATCCTTAAGTTATCCAGGTGTTCTTTTCAGTCCATGCTTTTGACAATAAGGTTGTCCACATAACACTCGACTTTTTGACATATTAGCTCATCAAATTTACTTGTCATTGCCCGTTGATAGGTGGCACCAGCGTTCTTCAGGCCGAAGGGCATGACCGTGTAACAAAAAATGTCGATGGGCATTCTGAATGATGTGTATTTTTCATCATCAAGTGCCATCTGGAGTTGATTATAGCTTGACGATCTGTTCATAAATGAGAACATGTTGTAGTTAGACATGTTATCCACTAATAACTTTGACGCTGGGAGCGGAAAATCGTGTTTTGGATATGCCTTGTTGAGATCCCGAAAATCAATACAGACACGAATTTGACCGTTCTTCTTCACAAGGACAATGTTGGGGATCCAATCGACATATTTTTTCTCTCGAATGAAGTCTGCCTCTATGAGCTTATTTGTTTCTATAATGTTCTTCAATCTCCAATCTCATTCTCCTTGGAGTTTATTTGATGGGTGTTGCATCTGGTTTGACAGAGAAACTGTGAATTGCTACATCAGTGGTTAAGTCAGGCATCTCAGCGTATGTCCTCTAACAAGTGGTTTTCCTTAAATTGCTCTATATGTAAATGTTTATAATCGGGGTCCTCTAATTTGGTAATTTTGCCGCATATTGACATCATTATATTACAATCACGGTCAGAATGTATGTTCTCTAATTGTTAACACTTTTGAGTAATGAATCATAAGTTATACTTGATAGAGCACTATGTACTTTATTAGCTAACGTTGATTTGAATGTCTCTTAGACAAACATCTATCTAGTTTATAAGGTACCATTAAGAGAAATAACTCATGGTTGCTAACAAAGATCTTTTAGTTAGGTTGGGTCAACTTCCTCTTCTAAGTATACCAAGGATCATGACAACACATGATGATAGAATTATGATATCTTGATCGGTTTTACCTTTATCCCCTCATCATTTGTTTTAAGTTTAAGGTGATAACTTTCTAATCATAAAGATCAAATTTAAATATTAAAATTGCTACTACTATATGCTAGGTACCTGGTGCCTATCTAACATGTAGCCTTTATCGAAAATATTTTCCCATCATCTGTAGCGATTATTAATCAAACGAACATGCGCTTATGAGAAAAATGAACTCATATCTTAAATTCCTCGCATAATGAGGGTGAAATCTTTGGATAATATCTTATCTCTAGCTGATTTGTCTTTTAAAATTTTTAACTTGGAGCATAATTTGTTAAAACTCTCCTCAAATACATAGAAAGGCTAGGGTGTAAAACTTTTAGAGTTCGCATTTTATAATAATTCAACTAACAACCATTCCTCTGTTATTTATAGAAATATGGTTGCATGATAAAATTAAACCAATTTCAATTAAATCTTGATCTCTCATATGAATCTCATCATCTAATTTATATAAAAAATCCTAATGATTAAAAAACAAGAACAACATCAACACCAAGACTTTATCTCACTGAATGGGCTAGCTATATGAATCTTTTTTCTCCTATGTATCTTATTAAGAGTTAAATTCTCATTTAAATCTATTAAAAAGTTCATTTTTAAGACTTTCTAATCTTTACCTCTTTCTTAACATAGGCCAGATCTAATATATCTACTCTCCTAACTAGGTCTTTGGAAGGCAGACCCTTTATGTGACCAAATCATGACGACACTCTAATTTTTTTTACCATTGGAGCTACTTCAACCTTTTCATGTATATACTAGTTTTGCATTTTCTCTCTTAGTGTAAAGCTACTCAACCACCCGAGCATCCTATCTCTACAACACTTAATTTTATGTTCTTCTGTTAATGGCTAACATTATTTTCCATAAAGCATTATAGGCATCACAACCATCTTATTAAATTTTCTTTTAAGTTTGAGGGGTACTTTTCTATCATACAGTAGGTTTGATGCATTCATCCACTTCAACCATCTAACTCTAATTCTACTAATAATATCCCCAACTATTTCACTATTGTTTTGAACAACAATAGATCCGAGATATTTCAAATGTGCACTCTTTTTAATAACTTGATCACCCAATGTCACAATCTCACCATTAGATCTATTACTAGTAAAATTATACTCAATGTATTCGATTTTAGATCTACTCAAATGAAAATCTTTAGACTCTAAGGTTTATCTTTATAATTCAAGTTTTCATTCAACTCCTCTCAAGTCTTATCAATAAGAAGATTATCATAGAAAGAAGCATACACCTAGTTACATCCTCTTGCAAATGTTTAGTAGACACATCTATGACTAAAGCAAAAAGATATGGCCTTAATGTTGATCATTGATGTAATCCAATTGAATTAGGAAAATACTTTGTCAAGTCACCTTGTATTTGAACAAAAGTTACAACTCTTGCATATATATCATTAATGACTTGAATATAAGCATTATCAACTCCTTCTCAAAACACTCCATAACACTTCTTTGGAACTTTATCATATGCTTTCTCTAAATCAAGTGGAGGATTATGTTAGGTAGTCGACAAACAATGCAAAATTTGTCGAATAATCATGACATAAATTTTTAATTTGTTATGTTAATGATTAAATAAAATGTACCAAAAATAATTTAAAATATTTTATTATTCTAGAAATAATCTAGAATTATTTTTGATGTGTTGTACTGAATCCTTCACAGCCTTGCCCAAGCCAATGTTACACAACAAAGGAGAACTTACTTTTAATCTAGCTCTTGGATTCACCAAAATAAAGTAGCGTTGGCCATATTTCGTACAAAGCCACATGGCTTTACCAAATAAAGCTTTTGCTTGCGCCATTGTGCTTTGATGGCATGTCAGGGGTGTTGGCAAGTTAGTTAGCTAAATGCATAACTTAAACATTCAAATTATCTCCCTTCTAAGTCATTCTTGGGTGTGTTTGGCAGTGTTGCAGGGAAGAAGAATGAGGTTGCATTAAGCTAATCAAATTTTCTTTTTTCTTTTTACTAGAAATAAAAGGAGAAACTGATTGTGGAGTGGTACGTTATTACTCTTATTCTTTTGTTCTGAGTTGTGATGTCTTCCCAAAATTATATGACTTGTGCAGATTTATGTTCCTTCAAATCCTAAAGGGACAGAAAGACTAGCACCAGGGATTATTGTACCTGAATCAGATTTTTATCTTCGTCGGTTGTGGGGTAATCCAAGTGAGGTATGTTGATTTATCATCTATTCGTGACATAGTTTTGTACATTCTGTTTGATGCTTTGCATATCATAAATGAATCAAACACAAGTAAGATAATCATTTCAGGTCATATGATCATCAAATCCCAACATTTTCTCAAAACTGTTAGTAATCTATAAAAGCAAAAGCGAATAAATTTATGCAACTCAAATAATCTGATTCATATGAAAATTTGGATTTCTAAATCATGTTTGCATGTGGCTGAGTTCTAGTATAAGTGTTTTTAGATATGCTTGAGCATTGGTTTCTTAGCTACTTTTTACTAATTGCTTGTTTATTACCAGTGATGTGTAATTTTTTGTAAAAATAATTGTTTAAAGAGAATCTAAAATTGACTTCTTGCAACCTAAAGTTGATGATAGTCTCATATGCTAGTTCAATCACATGCTAACTTGCTACTACCATTAGTAAGCTCATAATATACTTAAATAACTATTGACAAGAGAGCATCTGTAGGCGGATCAAAACTATTGAATGCCTTTATTTCCCACCTTAAAAGCTTACAATTATTCATATTACTTTTTATGTATGTAAAGGCAGACATAATTTACAAGATGAAAGCTTGCTGAAGTATGACATCTATTTATTTTGTTTATTTATTTGAGAAAAGGACTAACTGATTCCTTGAGTCTTTATGAAGGATCAAAATGATCCTTAACTATATTAAATGATCATTTTGATTCTTTTTTAAAGGCTTGAGGGACCAAAATAATCCTTTTACATAGTTGGAAATTATTTTGATTATTCATAAAGAGTCAAGGAACCATTTTGATTCTTTTCTCTTATTATTTATTTTAATGTTATGACTTAAACAAGTGGTTGAATTTGAGGCAGTGGGTAGATTTCCTACAATGTGATCTACAATGATAACCTTTTTTGCAATGCAGATGACTACGTACATCAACTTTTATTAAACCCTCTTATGGAAAACTTTTGCACGTGATACACAAATGTTCTGACTTCTCTAAACATCCTGTTTTAGGAATATCGTTTCTCAGAATGCAATCTAGGCTAGACATTGTTAACTCCAAGAATTTATTTGCCTTGAATGGACATTAAGTAAAAATAAATATTGCTGCCAACATATGAAGTTAGGAGCGTCTTAGTTAGCTATTGGTTTTGGACATTTCTTCCTGGTTTACTGTTTTGCGTGCATTTGTTCTTTGTTATTCTATTCTATTTCATTTCAACATTAAAATTGTCTAATGATTTTGCAGGATCTAACCCTACAGCAGAAGTACCTTGTAACTTTTACAGTCGGATATGATCAAAGGAATAATATTGACGCAGCAGTGAAAAAGGTAAAATAAAGAATTTTTTCATAACATTTCTATACTTTCTCAAAATCTTGCATTTCAGTTATAACCTTATATTTGACGTTATAGCTAGTTTTAACATATGTGATTCATTTTAGTGGTAATACCTATTTAGTTCTTGAATTGCACAATTTAATAAAGCTAATTATAAATTTTTAGATTATCAACCTACTTACCAGAGTCGCTACTATTTGAAACCCATATTGGTGCAGGGTACTATACGATCTAATTTAATTCATTTTAACCCAGCTCAAAATTGGGCCAAAGCCATATGATCTAATCTCAAGCCAAGCCAGGCTTGCCTAAGGCCTGGGTTAAATCTATTTCTATTCAAGCCATTCTGGTCTTATTTATTTTGATCTGTTCTTGACTTCAAGCTGGAAGTCCTTTTGATTTCAATTATTTTTATCTCTATGATAAATTTGTAATCCAACCTACAAACAAAACTCATGCATGTATACACATCATAAATAACATATACACGCATATTCATACAATTACAAATACATATATATATATATATATATATATATATATATATATGTGCATTTTAGCAGCATGCATGTGCATTTTGACTTGATCTAGAGCTAGCTTCATTCGATCTAGATCTAACCATTCGAGCCAGTTTTTTTGCTTATTTGTTTTTATCCAAGCTCAATCTGAACTAGATGTTGATTTGATTTTTGAGTGATCTTCTTAGGCAGGTTCATAGACTTTGGGGGTGTTTGAGCATTTGAATGTTTTAAAATAAAAACAATACTTATAATCATAATATTTGATTAATTTGATGAATCAAATATGGTTGACTGTTCCAGACCAACACCAACAAAATTGAAATATTATGTCCATATTATCTGCATCATATTACATGTTCCTGGTAACATGTTTGACTCTAGGAAAATTTCTCTGAATATGTTGACATATCATTCTCTTCTAGATTTGCAATATGTTCTGCATTGAAACTGGTAGTGATTATTATTATTTTTTCTTTTTAATCCTCTAAATGTTCATGATACCTATGCAGTTCTCTGAAAATTTTACCATCATGTTGTTTCATTATGATGGACGGACTAGTGAATGGGATGAGTTTGAATGGTCAAAACGAGCGATTCATGTAAGCGCAAGGAAGCAAACCAAATGGTTAGTCATATAAATATATAGTAGTAATTTTGCATTTTTTATTGCTGTGATGTTTTCCCAACTATGCTGTCTCAATTAAAGGTGGTATGCCAAACGCTTTTTGCACCCTGACATTGTAGCTCGTTATGAATACATCTTCATCTGGGATGAAGATCTAGGAGTGGAGCATTTTGATGCTGAGGAGTAAGTTTTTACTATATTTTTTTCCTTTTTTTTTTTAGTCAATAGGCATGCAAATATAAGATTAGAATTTCCAGGTACATAAAACTGGTGAGGAAGCATGACTTGGAGATTTCACAACCTGGTTTAGAGCCGAACAAAGGGCTAACATGGCAAATGACTAAAAGAAGAGGTGACCGGGAAGTTCACAAGTTAGTATTGGATTCCAGAAAAATAGACTAAGCTTCCTTTTCTACATCAGTATTTTCCCCGAGTAAAAAATTGCTCGTTTCCATTTCTAAAAAATATTTAATAATCGAAATTGAACAGAGAAACAGAGGAGAAGCCTGGCTGGTGCAGTAATCCCCAGCTGCCTCCATGTGCCGCGTATGCGTATTTGCTTCTTTTTTAACAGTGAAGATTTGCATACATGAAACAATTAAAATTTTCATCTTCCAATACTAATTTTTTGCCTGCTCGACTTTCAGATTTGTTGAGATAATGGCACCTGTGTTCTCACATAATGCATGGAGATGCGTATGGCATATGATTCAGGTGAGGCTAGATATAGCATATATGAGAAATTGTCTGATGGCTCAGTCAACTTCCATTATTTGATCACAATCCTTTCATTCCTGCAGAATGATTTGATTCATGGATGGGGCCTTGATTTTGCACTGAGAAAATGTGTGGAGGTAACCATATTTCTTCCATCACTGTCTATAAGTACACATTATACACTATTTTCTTATTAAAATCTCAGCTGCTTGTTTTGAATTACATTAAATAGCCTGCACATGAGAAAATTGGCGTTGTGGATTCTCAATGGATCGATCATAAAGTTGTTCCTTCACTTGGGAATCAGGTGAGCGAACCTCTCTCTCTCTCTCTCTCTCTCTCTCTTAACAAATTTTTTCTTTTTTTCAATTATTTTAATTATAATTGGTTCTAACTAACAACTTCAATCTTCATTTTTGTGTTCATCAGGGCAAGGCAGTAGATGGGAAAGCTCCATGGCAAGGGGTACTTAATCATCATCCCTGTCTTCCATTTACGTGATTTGCAAAAGAAACTAAAACCTACAGCTAAACCAATATTCTTGATTTGGTATGTTTTGATAGGTGAGGGAGCGGTGCCATAAAGAGTGGAGTATGTTCCAAACTCGATTAGCAGATGCAGAGAAAGCTTATTACAAAAGGATGGCGGTCTTTTCTACAAATGAAACTCATGTTTAGATTGATAGTGATAGATATTGATATAAGCTGGACGGTGTTATTGTATGCCATAGGTTGTTTTTGTCATGCCCTCCATCTTTGTCCCTCTTTTCTTTACTTGTTTAGGCGGATGATGGAAACGCAGGGCAAATGTGAATTATTTATATGTATATATGCTCTCTGATTACAAGCAATTTATAACTTAATAATGTTATATGGTTCCTCACATCTTAGATTTTAATTCTGGAAGATAATTTCAGGGAAGATGTGATGAAAAATTAGCAGTTCTACATTTTCGCTAGAAGAAACTAATTTGTCTTGAACCGTTCATATGGAAATATCCAATAAATATCCTATTGAATGATACATGAAACATTCAACAGGCTAGCTCGAGGCTTAAGAAGTTATTTGTTGATGTATTGGGAAAGCATGCTAAATAAATTCCTAAAAGACTATTAAAGGTAAGATCTGCAGAAAAAAAAGAATTTTTACGTGAACTTCATAAATTTAACTTCAAATTCTTCACAATTTTTTTCTGAATGATTTGGTTTTCATCAAAATTTCATGGCCCTAAGTTTAAGGTGTCAGATCAGATTAAGTGCCTGCAAATGAGTTAAATTGTAAGTATTACATCCATCTAAAATAATTGAATTTTTTGATAATTGAATTTCCAGTTCTAATGAATTCAGATGATACAAGCTTTTTGAAAGAACAAGCAGAATAATTACAATAATAAGTTTGCAGCTCAATAGACCTTCTTTTGGGATTTTTTTAAAGGATAAGAGCTTACCTCTCAAATATTTAATAAAGTAGAAATAGTATACACGGTCAATTATAAATAAATAAATAAATATGAGGCTAGTTTAAAAAATAAATATGGCATAAGACCCATTACGGGAGTTATTGTATTGCGAATATTTAGTTGAAGTCAAACTTGAATGTGTTCTCTGTCTGAGAATTGGAAAACATATGACAGAAGTAGCTCTTTGTTGTCAAGAATAAGAAATTTAGAATTAGGGAACATTACTTTTAGTATTTTCAAGTACTAGTTTAAGTGGTGGATGTTGTAGAATAAGTAGTTGTTCGTTGGACATTTCTTATTTTTGACTAGCTGGTGTTTTTTTTGCGATGCTAATTGGCTTGTTGTTTATGTGTTTATTATAGGTGATTTTGATGGCATTTTGTTATCCTTTTTAAGGGGTTTTTTGTCGTACCTTCATTTATACTGGTCAATTGCAGCATTATTTTCAATCTCTTTTCAATGGGACTACCATGAATTGTCTAGTTGTATTTGAATCTCCTAAATACATACTAGTTTTGCCTTGTCAGGAATCAGTTTCTTGCTCCTTTCTATTAAACTTTTACTGCAATCATGCTAAGCTATCCCATCACATTTCCTCTAGCACTTGGGTGGTTTCTTGACCGACCAGTGAAAACAACTTTGAATGGATACTTCTTTGTCCATGTTTTAAATCATGTTTGTTGGTTTTAAATTTTTTACTTCTAGTACTTGTAAATTTTTGTTGACCTCCACATCTCCTTCGTAAATTCTGCTCTAATCTCTCAAATTCAGTTGAAATTCCACATACCTCATATTGTTCGGCATTGACGCCGCTCTTCGCATCTCCTCCTAAAATTTCTACTAAAATCCCGCTATTCCTGCATAGAGCCTTGATCGTCTGCCTCTACTCACATTAATAAACAAGAAACAAACTTTAGTTCATTTTCTTCTTCGATTTTGAAATCCTCAGTCAAACCTGTGCCCGTATCTACCTCTCTTCACTGTGCCGACTTCCACTTTCGAGCTCATGCACCCATCTCCAACATCCACTCTCTCTCCCTCTACCTGTTCGAAATCAACCCACTCAATGCCTCCCTAAGCTGAACACACAACCACAGCAGCCTTATTCTTCCTTCGATTCCCACTCCCTACTTTGATCCCTAAACCCTAACTTCAACCGCGCCCCAGAGCCCGCAGCTCACATCCACCCACTATCGAGAAGTCCTTCCACTACAGGAAAATCACCCAATACCGGCGGTTTTTTCCGGCGGCTTATATGTTAAAACCGGCGGTTTTCAACATTACCGGCGGCTTTTCGGTTGTTCCTTAACCGTCGGAAATATTGGCGTCGGAAACATTTTACCGGCGGTTTTTGCCAGCGGCTTTATTATCCAACGGTCTTCCGGCGGCTTATACCGCCGGTCCTTACCCAGCTTTGTACCGGCGGTATTCCGGCCGTTTCGCCACCGGTCATTTTATGGACCGCTCACGGGCGGTTCCTTCACCGACGGCTTACCGGCGTTACAGCGGCCGGCGTGCGTTCGATCAACCGCCGGTAAATACCGGCGGTTTATATAAAATACCGGCGGCATAAATCAGCCATCCGGTATCGAAGTTTCCGGCGGCCAAACCGCCAGTTGGCCGCCGGGAACCTGTAGCACCTTAAAAAAAAAATTGATAGCCTCTCCTCTATTTGAGGGAGGTTGACCCTAAATTCTAAATCTGCACATAAAGCAATATATAACACCAACTTTTGGGCAACACGTCGCTATATTCAATCAACCATCACAAATATATACATAAGCAAAACCAAAAGATAGTCAATAAATGTAAACAAAGTTCAAACATCAAACATTAGTTCACAAGTTTACAAGTTCACAGTAAGTAAGGAGCATCATATTTATTGTTTATAATATCCCAGATCATATGTATAGGTGGCCTTGAAGGATTGAAGCTGCATGTTACTTTTTTTTCAATAACAAGTAATATATCAAAATACAAACAACTTAATAACATAAACTGAACTTATCGCCCTCAGGCTCAATGTATTGACGCTTATCTGTTGCAACTGCATGATCGCTAGCGCCAACCTCTGGTGGTCTAGATGGTCCACCCTGTTCATGCTGCACCGAATAGGGGTAGTAATATGGGTAGGGGTAAGGAAGGCGAGGACCAGTGGATGGACCTGCTGCCTGTGATGATGGTGGAGGGTAATATGGATAGAATGGAGAGGCATGTGTCTGATCTGGAGTGGGGTAATGAGGACTCGTCGAGGGAGGAGGGAAGTGGCCAGGGAAGTATGGAGGTACAACTGCAGGTGGATCTGAAGGTCCCTGACCCTGCTCACTCGGGGACTGCTGTTGTCCCCTGAGTGGTGGTGTAGGTACAACAGCAGGTGGAACTTAAGGTCCCTCACCTTCATCAGGCTGTGTGGCTCTGCTGGCGGGAGTAACAGTAAACTTCTTCCGGCGGAACTTTGAGGCAAATGATTTTCGAGGAGGATCCTCGCGTGAAGCCATCTGCATTAAAAGAAACAATTAATAAAGCAGTTAATGAATTACAAAAAGCAGTTTATAAAGTAGTTAATGAATTGCAAAAAATAATTAATAAAGCAGTTAATGAATTACAAAAAACAGTTAATGAAATAGTTAATGAATTACAAAAAACAGTTAATAAAGCAGGTAATAAATACAAGTTGGAAATTAGATAATTTAATTTCTTAAAATTCAAATTGTTCTACTCAAAATATTACAAAACAGTAAAATTCTACAATTCTAAATTACAAAAACTACTCAGAATCATCAAAACTATTTTCATTGCTCTCAAGGGTATCTTCACTTTCATCCTCATTCTCATCTTCGCCTGAACTAGTTGAACTATTCACATCTTTTAACTCCATTTCAATACTAGAGGTTGTAGTTGGCATCTCCTCAATTTCAACAGGCCTACAACTTGACATCTCATCTTTTTGATGTACAGTTGCTACAATGTATTATTGATCAATTATTCCCCGTGCTTTTGTTTTTATGACAGCTAACCAATCTTGTTTGTCTCTACGACCACTGGGATATTTGCTGAAATAAACTTGAATAGCTTGACTTGCTAACATAAATGGATCAAACTTCCCATATCTTCTACTATGTTTTATATCTACCAAACCATACGCAGGATGAACCCTTGTGCCTCTATTCTGTACTGGATCATACCATTGACAGTTAAATAAGCACACAAAGTTCTCATCTTCTCCTGGGTATTCCAAGTCAAGAACCTCATTCAGAATACCGTAATAATCACACTGATCATTTTCTTCATGAGTGTTCCATCTTACACATACTCCATAATTTTCAGTTTTTCTTTCTTCACTCCACGACTTGGTATGAAATCTGAAACCATTCACTATATATTGGCCAAGTTTTGTCTTTTCGCATTGGACCCCATGATAGTGTTTGCAAACCTTTATCGAAACATTTATTATCAGGATTTTGAACCTAGAAATATTTTCAAATATTAATATTTTTTATAATAAATAAGATTTGAATTTTTAAAATTGATGTGCTCACATATGATCAGAATCAAGTTGGAAATTCATTTTCAACAGCTTGCTCAATATCCCTTGAATCTGTCAAAGGCAAATTGCTTACGAAATACCTGGTGACAAATAATACTTTAGTATTTTAAATAAACATTATTCATTATTAATATTATGCAAGAACTTACTCTAAGATTGGCTCAACTTCTTCACAATTCAGTAGCACATACAAATTCGATGTATTCATTTTTAAATCATTGAGAAATCTTTCAACACATTTGCCACTAGGCTTTTCTTGCCTTCTAAATACTGATATTCCAGCATGTGATATTTCTTCTACATCGAAGTCCATGTTACGACCAATCTTTATTCTTGTACTCCTTACATGAGGCTTGAAGTAGTATGAACAAAAATGAGTTATGACCAATCTTTGTTCTTCTACATCGAAGTCCATGTTACGATCAATTTTTTTTCTTGTACTCCTTTTATGGGGCTCGAAGTAGTAGGAGCAAAAGCGAGTTACGACCAATCTTTGTTCTTCTACATCGAAGTCCATGTTACGACCAATCTTTGTTCTTGTACTCCTTTCATGGGGCTCGAAGTAGTAGGAGCAAAAGTGAGTTACGACCAATCTTTGTTCTTCTACATCGAAGTCCGTGTTATGATCAATCTTTGTTCTTGTACTCTTTACATGTTACCAACTCTAGCTTCGTAAGGTAGATGGTCTGGAAGATGTTCCATATAATCAAAACATCCCGGGAGAAATATCTTTTCTAACTTTGAGAGGATGATTGGTATGTTATCCTCGTACCTCCATAAAGCATCTTTGCTTAGTTTAGATGAACATAAATCTTTGAAGAAAATGCTAAGCTCAGTCAACGAATTTGATATGTAATCGGGTAACATACATACTATG